TAATTCTACAAATAAAGAAATTTAAAACTTCGACCTTTGGAATTAGAAAATTGACTCTTCCGTCATAGAAATGAAACCAAGAAAATCTACCATTTCTCTTCCCTCCTAAAGGCTTCAACGAGGTCAGCAGATGACTTGCTTAACTGCCCTCTTTCCTTCTTCCACGTAACCTTCTTCTGTTTCTAAATGCATCAGAGGTTGTTGGGGGAGCAGAGGAGGCTGTGAGGAATGTAATAATTAAGTTTTTCTAGTTCCTATAAGCCACCTGAAAAGCTTCAATCCCCTTTTCATTTATGACAGAAATTACTTAACAGTGAGAATCCATTCTCACAAATCACATATAAATACAAACTATTTATGCAAAAGATTAGATATGATAAGGAGCATCTGCTCAAGAAACGCTAGTTTTTTTTTAACTTCACAAATTTAACTAAAGAGTTTATTTTTAAAATGAAAAGTAGTTTAACCAATATTTTTAAAAATTCTAATTGATACTCTTTCTTAACTTTAAATAACTTATCCCCACTGCAAAACTGCATTTGTAATGTGTATCAGTCAATGGATTAAACCCTTTCCTGGCAAATCATAAGCAGCTCATAGTGGGCATAAATCACTGCTATCAAAAGAAGACTTGGAACACCTCATCTCAGAGGCCCTACCTACTTCTCTTGTAAGGATCTCAGGAAGCATTCAAATAAAAATACTTTAATTCTTTTCAGTACTAACAGACACCACCTAAAATACAATCTGGGCCATATGAATGTACAGGAAACAGTAAGAGATGTGCCCTTCACCATCTCTCAATCTTTTTGAGAGAGAATACATTTAATCACTTGCCTTAATTCTTTAAAAATCTAGAATAACCAGCTATTTGGGGTAATTTGTCCAGCGAGGTTGGGAAAAGTTATGTGAATGTGAACAAAGCTGGATTTTTGTGTAGGTGCAAAAGAAAATAAAGTATGGTAGGATTTTTAAAACACAAGATCTGGAGATACCCAACAATGAACTTCACTACATGAAGCTGAAGTTTTCCTTTGTGTTTCTGTTTCCCATATTTTAATCTTATTAAATGCCCTCATGAGAGGCCAACTGAGCCAATAGGGTCAAACCTGGGCACTGTGAAACCCCCNTGCAGAAAATTGGAGGAAGAATAATTGTTAGAAGAAAATATGTGACAACTTCTCACGTATTGACAATGATTAACAAAATGCTCCAACAACATATTTAATGGCTCTGCAATGCCCAATAGGGCACTGGAGACCTAAGACAAAAATTCCTTTGGTGATCAAGAAAAGACAAGACACCTAAAGAAAATACATGAATCTAGTAGTCTTAAACCATAGACTAAAGCTAGAGACAAACAAATCAAGACCATGATCAAAATACCCTTTTTGTTACAAAATTATTTTGTCAAAAAAAATCATTGTACAAAATAATCCTTCCTATTAGGAGGGATGCAAATAATGTACTATGAAATATTTCCTCATTCATTCATTGTAT